GGCACCACGTTCTAGTTCAAGAGGAAATTTTGAGGCCTCACGGGGACAGCTCAATTACTGATGATAGAGTGGGGGTGGGGTGCAGTGGAACAGACATGAAACACACACACACACACACACACACACACACACACATACACACCAATCTGGATTGTGTCTTCTCTATAAAAAGCAGGCCAACAATTTGGCTCTTCTGGTCCCAGATGACTGTGACTCTATTATTGAACCAAAGCTAAAGGAAGTCCTGGAACCACTACATGCACCAAAATAAACAAACAACAACAACAAAAAACCCTGGAGGACTGATGTTGCCCTGCCTTTTTCATTCCCTAAGACCTCCAAGTGGTCACCTTTGGACTGCAGTCTGAGGGGCCAGTATCCCACATCCCATGCTACCACTAGGGGGTGTGGTGAGCACACATGGGAGGGGTGGGGCTGATGCTTGGAGATCCTGAGGGGACCTGAAGGCTTCCTGCCCCTGTGAGTGCTGGTGGTTGCTCCATTTATTTATTTATTCTGGTGCTAGGGTTGGAGCCCTGGGTCTCACACATGCTAGGCAAGCATTCTACCTCTGAGCACACTCCCAGTCCTGGTGTTGGCTCCACAACACCTGGGAAAGTGTGGGGCAGGAAGGACCCTTATCATGACCAGTTGGGAGGAAGCTCAGGGTTCTCCCAGGTCAAGCTGGGAAGGAGAGGTATCTGAGAAGCCTCCAATCCCGCTGGGTTAACACCAGTCAAGTCACCCTCCACCTCTCCACCCCCACCCCCATTCCCATACACACACCAGGCCATCGCTGATGCTGAACAAAGCATCGCTGCAGGGGTACCGGCTGTTTTACATATGATTTGAATACTGTTTCTTTCAAGTCAAAATAGCACAGCAAGCCCCTCCCCGCCCAAGCTTCTCCCCTTAGCTTTCATTTGTTCCCCTGAAGGGTCCCCAGCCCTTGCTGCATCTCACCAGTCTTGGTGACCCAGCCTGGAAAAAAAAAAAACCAAAAAAACAAATGTGGAGCTGGTCGGTCCCCAGGGCTCCCCTGCGCTCGATGGTATTAACAGTGCGGCCCCCTTTCTCCTGCCCACAGATCCTCGATGTGAATCAATCCCATGATGCAACATGCCTCCCCAGCCCCAGCTCTGACAATGATGGCCACGCAGAATGTCCCTCCCCCACCCTACCAGGACAGCCCGCAGGTGAGTTGCCAGCGAAGGAAGAAGTGGGGAGGGAGCATGGTAGCCCTGGGGATCCCCCTGGGAGGCTGGGATATTTCAGGGCTGAGGGGCCTGATCCGATGGGACTCTGCTTTACCCAGCAGCCTGGGGGCTCTTCCCTGTCAGGCCTAGGGAGGCTTCTCCGCAGAGAGTGCAGTGAACACAGGCCCCTGATGAAACTCAAGGTTCAGATCCTACCTGAGTCATTCCATCACCAGGACCATAACCTGGAGGAGTGGTCATAGAACTGTCCCTCGTCCCCTACCTGGCAGGCATAGCTGAGTACAATTGAACCCTTTTATTGTGATCAATACAAAATCCACACTCAAGATCCTAGTACCTCATGTAAGCAGAGTCTGCCTTTAGGTATTCAGGAAACTTCCTACTTACAGGTTCTCCCCTACTAGATTCCCCCTTCGATGGTCACTTGAGTCCTTTTGTCTAGTCCTTCACTGACAGCCTATTGGAAGAATCTGCTCTCATCCGGACTTTGCTGGACTTCTACTTAGAAAAATAGAATTCTTTCTTTATTCCCTCAACTCTTTCCCCCTTGGTCTCCAGCTTCCATCCCTTAGCTCAGCCGCTCAAGTTCTTCTGAGACACCCTTCCAGGTTGCAAGTCCTTCAGTGTCCTAGGAAGCATCTTCTCACCGTATTTCTGTTATCTCTTTTGCTCCTTCTGCAAGACAGGTCCAGCTTTTGTGGGTTGGGCTCCTACAGTCCTTAAGACCTATGGCTTCTCCTTCTGCTTCCCCCACTTGCCTCTCACTCCGCCTTGGATCTTTGAAAGCCTGATTTATGTGGGGGAGCTTTCACAGAAGGCTCCATTCTCTGACCTTTATCTTCACACTCTCCTGTTTTCTCTTCCCTGGCCTCTGAAGTCAATATTAATTCAATAATTATTTATTGAGCATCTGTCATGTGAAACTAGAATGCTCACTTAACCTGGGTGCAGAGAGGGCCTACTGTGTGCCAGACTCCCACTCTCCATTCAGTTGCCCTTCCCTGTGCCCCTTACTCATTAGCATTTCAAACACAGCCCTTTTTCACCAACCACACTGAAGATCTGTGCAGTGGAAAAGGGTATTAAGATGCAGATAGGGCAGGGAGACTTTTGATCACTTTGGGTCCTGTGGTCCTGATACCCCTGTCCTAGAGTCAGCATATAGGTAGCTGTTCCGTACTCCCTTGACATCCCCTCACAAAATGACCAGATGATATGGGGCCATTTTGCACAGTGTCTAGCAGGCAAATCCCCTTTGATTCCTCTCCCTCTGAAAGTACAAAAGCCCTCCTCATTCACCCACTGTGAGCACATGATCTTGAGTCCCCCGCCTTACTCCACAGAGTGACTTCATGTTCCCTCCCTGGCTCTCCCTAACTGAATTCTATA